TCTCCTATGAAGACAGGCTGAGAGAGCTGTGGTTGCTCTCCAGGGAGACCTTATAGCACCTTCCAGCACCTAAAGCGGCTCCAAGAGAGCTGGAAAGGGACTTCTTACAAGGGCTTGTAGTGATGGGACAAGGGAGGAAAGGTTTTAAACCAAAAAATTAGAAATAAAAAAGTCTTTTGCAATGGAATTGGTGAAATACTGGAGCAAGTTGCCCAGAGAGGTGTCAGATGCCCCATACCATGAAGTGTTCAAAGTCAGGCTGGACAGGGCTTTGAGCAACCTTTCTGGTTGAAGATGTCCCTGCTCATTGTCAGGGGTTGCACTATATGGCCTTTAAAGGTCCCTTCCAACCTGCTCGCTTCACTATTCTATGATTCTGTGATACCTGTAGGAAGTATATTTCTAGCCCTTACTTTCTGGTAGCATTGAAATTCTTGGGAAGACTACGGTGTTATTGTGCAAATCAATGAGCTGCGCCCTGCTCTCACCCTGCCATTGTGCTCCTGCTCAGGCTGCCCTGCTCCAGCAATGCAGGGGGAACACGGTGTGCCTGGATGGAGCCATAAATCCTACTAGAGGAGTCTCAGCTGTAAAATGAACTAGATCACATGTCCAGAGAAGGAAGTTTCTAACAATAAGCCAAAGTAGTGTTGCTACTGAGGAAGTACATACAGAGATAACAGAAATACAAGCTCTTTTGAAGATCCATCTCCACTTGTGCTGCAGTGTTTGGAAGAGTTGAACTGCAAGGGAAAGAGGAAATCAAACAAAAGAAGTAGGGCATAATGTAGAGAAATAAATATGCACCTCAGAACAATTTCAATCTACCCATTATTCGAATTGTCAAGATCCAGAACAGATGTGTTGACTCAGCTTTAACAATGTAAAAGTGCAGCCTCCTTGGCTAGGTTCAGCTGTCCCAACAAAGGCAAGTGGTGCTCTCTGAGGTGACCATGATATCCAACCTTCACTTGGCTGGTGTCTCTGGAAAGGGACAGGTTTATCCTGGGTCCTGTGTCATATCTGCTAAACCCATACAGATGTCTAGGAACCCTAAGGTGGCTGGATGGGCACTATGCACCCATGTGCACACAAGGAAATGGAGAAGCTGGACCAACCCCATCTTCCAGGCTCTCTGTGCAGTAACTGAGAGGTGTGTGTGTCTTCAACACTGGTGGTAGAGAAATCTCCCCTTAGAGGTGCATTTCTCCTTACAGAGACTATTAAAAAATACTTGAAAATTAACTTGCACTGTATGTGTCCCCCTTTGAAAATTAAAGACACTTCAGTTATTCCCCTCCTTAGCCATGCAAACATGCTCCCCCCAACACCTCCCTTTTGGGTCTTTGTAGACTCAGTGGGAAACAAAGGGCCCAGAAATACCACACCTTCTGATAGGTGATGACTCTACCTTGCTCTGGGACCCTGCTCAGCTGGTGGCCTGGTCAGGCCTCGCAGCTCTGCCATACCATGGCCAACTCAGCCTGGTCCAGGGGACATGACAAGCAGTGAAGGGACACAGACCAGCACAGCTGCACAGCAGATGGAAAAAGGCCCCCGGAAAAAGGCAGTTTTCCCAAACCACATCCCACCGGGGTACTTGCACCAGGGGCTGCTCCTCCCCCACCCCAACCCTTCTGGGGTGCGAAATGTCACGAGAAAGGTCTGGTATTGTCTTTTTATCTTATTTTTGTTCACAGCCCCTGAGGGAGTGTTAGCACATTGCAATTGCTTTTCCCTATTCTTCTGTCATCTGTGCATATTTCCATGACACACTTTCCCTGAGGCCATCAAACCCAGCTGCCAGCCCTGAGGGCTCCTCCACCTGGCTAAACGTAATGAGCAATGGAGAGAGGACATTTTCAGAGGACAGAGACACTTGGATTTTACAGAGAAAGGGCGTGCTCAGAAAACTGCACTGTTAATTCTATTCACAGGTTGCAAATGCTTGCAGAGAGCAGCAGGAAGGCTGGGAAGAGCCTAGGGAAGACAGGCTGAGCTTTGCCCTGGCAGAGGTTTGCCAGCAGGTCTATGTGGTTGTGCAGTTCCAAATCTTGGTCCTTTCCATTAACACCTCAGATAACCCCACGTTTCAGCAGTGACTGCCACTGTGGTGACATCTGGTCCAAGAGCAAGGAGCTGCTGATTTATGACCATTTCATCCATGAAGGGGCTGCCACCTTCCCTCCATCTGCATTTGTGAAGATTCTGATGGAATGCATTCAGCAAGAGACACAGACATTTCATAAAGGTGTCAAGTGAAAATATTTTGCAGGTCCTATGCAGCTCGATCTTTATGTCTCTGGTTCCTCTGAGATAAGGAAAATGTGGATCCAAACCCCTCACCCTCAAAAACCAGGAAGAGAACTGAACCCAGACCACCTGCATGCCAGGAAAGTGCTCCATGGACTGGTGTGTTATGACAAAAGTGTGTTATGACAAAAGGGTGCCACCCTAAACCACTGCAGGTGGACAAACCCAAACCTGCTACCATGGATAAATTATGCTCCAAAGACGCACAACAAAACATGTCTGGAGATCCAGTCTGGATCCTCAGATCGTGTCTGGAGCCTCAGCAGGCTCAGGAGACCAGATGGACTGAAGTTCTCCCATAGGACATCTGTGGGCCCATCTGGGAGAGTTCCAATCTCTGGGGCAATAGAAACTTAGGTAACTCCAGAGTGTATTTGTGTTCAGCATGAGACAGCAGCCCAAGCACAGAGCTGGGGTGACTGGCAGCACAGTGCTGGACTAACTTCTTCATATGTCGTGATTCAAGCTCTGAAACACCATTTAAATCTAGTCTCCAGTTATGGATCTCTTCCAGGTCCTGCCCTGCTGCTTCCTGTGCTGGATGGTGATGTATTGGTGCATTCCGTATCCTGCACACCTTCTGCATTTTACAGGAATTCTCTACCATTATCAGAAGCAAAAATAAAGCTAACCAAAGATGTCTGCTGCAAGAAGTATTTTGGCTTTGTAGGTGCAAACACATGGCTGAAATGAGTAAATTAGGGGATCTTCCAGCTGAGCTGTTCTCCTGTGTGTGCATGCACATGTGCTTGCATCTGCATTTTTACTTCAACTGTTGTCATCTTCACTAAATATTTTACTATGTTCAAAAGCATATTTTTAAAGGGCTTTCAACAGTAGGAAACAACACATGGATTTTTATTCCCCTGCTGCACTAAGAATAATTCACTTGTCAGATACCACACTGCTCTCTTCATCAGCTGGTTCTGCAAATAGAGAGAAACCACATCCTATGCTCACAGAGAATCCCTGAGTCACCACTCTATGTTCTGATCCATCTTCTCCATGTTTCAGCAATGACAAGCCGGGGGCCTTGGACTGCTCAAGGATTTATGCCATCAGGTATAGTTAGCAGAATATAAAGCTTAGACATACAATTAACAAAATGTTTATCAGTTGCCACTACTGCTCCCACCCAAGTGGTGCCTCTGTGGACTGTGCTGAGATGGTGCATATCCTTGTTTCAGGCAGAGCAGTTGTGACCTTACACTGACATCCTAAAGTGCAGGCTGTGTCTGTCACAGGCACTGGCCCAGCACTGTGGCACTTGGCTAATATGGGCTGGTTTATTTAACACAGGCTTCGGTCTCATCTCTTGGCCCTCTGCAATTGCTCACCTCATCACAGGCATCTACAGTCCCACAGACAGCTGTGGTGGCATTCCTCTCACCTAACTGTGAGTAACTGTAGGTCTGTACACCTAAGCTTCATATCTGGGCTCCCAGGGCAGTTCAAGGGGTTCAAGGGTCTATGGTCATGGAGTCAAGACTGTAGGCTGTGTGGTCAATACAGACAGCAAAGTCAGGGGCACAGTCTCTTAACAGCCACAAGTGTCTGGATGACTGTGTCCCTTTGGCAACGGGACACAGGATTAAGCTTTTGTTCTGCAGACATCTAAAGCCATGGGAGTTGAACCCTGACCTCACAAGTCCACAGACCCTACTTCATAGGGAGTCACCTATCCTATGATGTTTTAGGCACCAAAACCCCACAGTCCTGGTTGGGCCCAGCTAATCCCATGGGTGTCATGGGAGTTATGCTCCTCAGGAGGAATTAAAGGCTAGGAGTTTTCTAAGGTGGGTACCATAAGCAGTGCAGCCACAAGTGTTGCCTTCCTTGACATAAATGCCGAGGAAGCCAACTTCACCATGAAGCCTTGAAGTCCCTTCCTACCCTGTGCTCCTCACCAACACCACTGCCGTACTCACAGTCAGAAAACAGGGGTGATGGTATGGGCAAATTCCCTGTCTTTGACAGCACTGGCCTCCTGGCTCACGCTGGTTACTCTTGTTTTCTCCTCAGCTCCCACAAGGATCAGGGAAACTTGTCCCATTGATCTCAGTGACCACTGGATCAGACCTAATGCACATTCCTGCACAGCAGCTGGTTTTGGACCCCAGGCTGGTTGAATGTGGAACGGGCAGCATGACTTCCCTGTTTTGTAAAAATTACTAATGAAATGTCTTAGCCTTATAATAAGTTCAACACAGAAAATCTGATATATATTTTGTACTTCTTCATCCTTGGTGGCGGTAAATAGCTGGCTGCAAATTCAAGTTCATTTCCAAAATGTGCCCCAAACCCCTTCCTCTGATGTGTATCCAGGCTTTAAGTATGTGATTTTAAGCACTGACAGATGAGTGGGATCTCCTCTGCTGGCTTCAGGGGTGGTTGGGTCAGGCCTTGCCTCACAGGGAAGTGAAAATCCCAGTGTCTGCTCACCCTTCTTGCACGCTTCCCTGTGTTTTCGCAGGGAAGCATGCAGAATACTGCCGCTCCTGGCTCTCTCCATCACTGGGAGGCTGCTGTGCTCTCGTGTCAGTGTGGCCTCTCAGCTGGAGCTTGGGGAGTGCAGCAGCCAATCGGGCAGCCTGGCAGCCCTGGCATCCTTCATCAATCTCCCTAAGTGTCTTCAGACTCTGTTAGGAACATCCACACCACTCCTCCTCTCTCTGCAATGACCTGAAGCTCCAGCTCTGCAAGCAGTGATCAGTGAGGCATAATGCAATGCAGGGCAGCCCAGAATAATCTGGTTGGCATCCAAGGATGTATATTCACCGAGAGGCTGAGGAGTGTGTCAGCATTTAGTTTCAGTCTAGCTGCACTTTTCCTGCAGCACAGAATCACAAAGTCTCCTCCTCTGGATTGGGACTGATCCTTCACCGGGAGCCTCTGAAAAGACAAAGTTTTCCTCCCTTGTTATTGCTGTACCACCATAACCTACCAAGATGTGTGACTGCTTTCATCTAGTTCTTCCTAACTGGCCAGGATCTCCAGCCAGTGGTGGGCTTACATTTTCTATACTTTTCTGTATTCTGCTTCTGCTTTCCTCTGCTCTGCTCTCGCTGCGACTCAGCCTCCCAGGAAAACCCTGCAGCTGCTGGGGTGTGGCTTTCTCTGATGCTGCATGAATCAGATAAGGAAAAATAGAGTTAAGAAAAGCCTGTCTTTACCTCCTCTAAACTTTCCTGCGTTATGTTGAAGCTATGCTTAAAGAAACCTTTGACTCTGTAAACAAATTAAATTCAGCTGTGTCTAACTTACCTGTTTCAGGTTGCATGCCTTACTTCACGAGCTTGCCCTTCATTTCTCATAGCAATTAGGAAGCAAGCAGCAGGAGTCAGTGCATGATACAGCCCACCTGGCATTTACAATAGCTAAAGCTGTGCCATGTAGTATATGTTTGCTAATTCAATGTGTCCTATGCTCTGTATTCGGTCTGTTGGCTGGACAAAACGGCACTCTGGGAGAAAGGGTTTTTTTCCCTGGGTTTCCCTACTGCAGAGCAGAAGGAAATTAGCAATTTAACCTGTTTTTTTTTTTTTTAAAGGGGAAAAGATACACATTTTAATATAAAATATCACTGAAACAGAACAGTGATGACTGGAGGAATGAGTCAAAGGAGTAACAAAAAACAGTTCTTAGCTGGCAGAAGAGTATCAATAAATTACAAATCTGCTCTTTAGTTTATGCAGAGATTGACCTGTTTTAAAATAAGCAACTTGTAGTCTTAAAGTTGTGCCTACAAAAATGCCAAGAATCTGAAATTTCTACAGTATCTTTTTCTCCCTAAAATATACAAAAAGCTGTGTTTATCTACATTCTGCAATAAATTTCCTCGCTATTTATTCTCGTAGAAGAAGTTATAATCTACAAAACACAGTCTGTAAACATTTTGATAGCCTAAAAGTAGAGAGCTTTTTTTTTTGTTAAAAAAAGTCTGATTATTTCTGCTTTCTTTTGTAAATAGTCAGGATTATATTTTCCAAAACAATGGAAAGTCAGAAACTGCTTGTCAAACTCCCAGTCGCTATTATTGCCTAAGTTGCCTTGTTGAAATCAAGGAGACAACTCAAGGAATAAGTTATATCTCTCCACCCAGCAAAAGATACAGTCCAACGCCCTGCTTGTTACCTGGTGTTTAGATTAACTAATTGAATTGCTATAAGGTTATAGCAAAATGTTTTAGGATTACACTCTGACAGTATTTTAATATGATTTATTCAAAATATATTTGACATAGTTTTGGTGAAAATATTTTCTTTTATAAATGTGACTTTTCCAGTAGTATCATTTCCTTAATGTTTGTCTGCCTGCACAGATTTACTTATTTAGCAAACAAACTAGTTTTGTGGCTCTTACGACTCTTACTATTTATCACATCAGAGACATTCTTGGGACTTTTGGGTGCTACCTAACAGAAACAAATAAAATCAGAGCACTAACAGAGCACTCCACAGAACCAACCTCCAGGCTTTCCTCACGGATCAGCAAAAAGGTTTGGGTTGGATTTTTGGGATTTTTTTTTTTCTCTAAGGAATCAAGACTCAACCATGTCACGAACATGGGTTGTTATTTCTCTGGTACCAGTTTTCTGGTGGTGTGAAAGGATGCTGTGGTGGGTCACACCCAAGGGGAGCATCTTCTGCACTGGGTCATGCCCCAACATCAACTAGATCCCAGTACTTGGTAGGTGCAGAGCAGGATCGGGGCCATGGCATCAACAGCAAAGTCTGAGCTGGGAAAGGATGAGGCAGGGGAAGAAGGTTGCATGTGAAATTTGACAGGCATCTGTTTTCCAAACAGTTATTGCTGATGTTTCTTGACAATAGGTAATCTCTCCCTCAGAGGTCAGGGTGTGGCAGGGAAAAGCAGTTCTGTTTTCCTCAGACAGGTAGGCTGGCTGGCTGCCCAGGCATGTGATATGGGTTTGAGAAAGGAACATCAGCATGGTGATGAGGCAGGCTCATCCCAGCAAGGGTGGAGGAAACCACACCGTGAATCCCACATCAAGCAGTGCGTATTAAACGCCTCGTTTCCTCCACAGCATGGAAAGAAGGCTGGTTAAAAATAGGCTCGTTTTGTAAGCTGCTGTCTCTGCTGGCTATATTCATCTGCCCTTGCTTTAGCTGACTGTCATGATGACACAGGTGAGAAACAGATAAACAAAAATTTGCCAGTTTTCTTTATTGGCCAGGCAAGCACAGGCATGCACTTGGATCTGACATCTGGAGGATGCTGGGAGCATTCTGCTGTTGTTGATGAACATGTTTTTCATGGATAATTTTTGAGTCAGAACAACAAGAAGGAGGAGAAGAGAACGTCTGAATCAGCAAACCGTGGCAATTGGCCAAATCCCAAAATATAAAGGTCTTTCTAGCACAAATGCTTTCTAAACCTATTCTTTAACTTGTTTGGGGCGTCATCTAAATCCTCGGAAGCTAATGGCCATTTTAAAAGACCCCATTCAGTAAGACACTTGAGCAAGTGTGCAAGGCCTGCTGATTGCCACTGGATTGAAGCACAGGGTCATAGAAAAACACATGCCTTAGCCCTTTGCCTGAATGGGCACCTGAACCACAAGATTGCTGCTTCTAAGCTCTTGGGTTCATCTTTGCACTGTGTGAGAATAACAGGTGGGTTCCTGAGATCAGCTGGAGCTGTGAAAGTTCCTGAGCAGGACTCCATTGCAAGCTGTGACATCCTAAAAAACACTAAAAGCCCAGTGACATCCCTTTTTCTCTGATCTTATCTGCCATGCCAAAGGCTGAGTGTCAATGAGCTGGTGAATATGGTACACAAATTTTGAGGATCTAAAACAAAATGCCAGCTCAGTTGCATTTTTTTCTTAGAAATATTTTCCAAAGATGTCTATGAGCTTTAACATCATCTATTCCAGCCCCATTATGAGACAGAGATAAACAAAACCTGTAGGAGCCAGACCCCCAGCTCGGGTGAGGAACACTCTCCTGACTGTCAGGAGAAGCTCTGACCTGGCACACCAGCATATTTCATTTTCCGTCCTTTTACTTCTTTCAGTGAATATAATGTTAAAATGACACAAGTTGTTTCAGTTTCAGCAGACACTCACTCTCTGCCCAGTAATACTTCCCAATATCTACTCTCGTTCTACCCATGGTGACACCAAAATAACTGTGGTGCCAGCACAGACTGAAAGGGAATCTGATTCATCCGGCTCTGGCAGGGAGCTCCCTGCCAGCATCGTGAATCAGGCTCAGTAAATTGCATCCCTCTGGATTCTCTCTGTCTTCCCTCCCTCCTGACTCATCTGCTTCTCTCCAGAGTTTATATTTTTAGTTATTAGTTTCACACTTCTATTTCCAATGGGTACGCACGGGCCCTTTGGTGACTTATGAGCACAAGTGGAAAAGAAACATCGGCATGGCAGAGCCCCACAGGCAACAAAGCTTTCTTTGTCCATCCTCTGTGCAATGAAGTGTGTTGCTGTTCTCCATCTAGCTGCAAGAAACGGGGATGGTATGTACCCGTCAGAGGCACAGCACATTGTGTTTGCCACAGCTTCTGATTCATGTGAGGAACGGACATACCCCAGCAGCAAACCAAAACCAGCTGAAAAATGTTGATTTTTCTTTATTGCTGCATTTCAAAAATTTCAAGAAGGAAGAAGAATCAGCAGACATCTCAAGTCCACTTTGGTAGAGTGCTCTTCCCTGAGCAATTCGAGCTTGCGATACATTTTACCCAGTGGTTTGTGCACCATCTGTTCCTGTCCAAAGCACTCTGGCTGCAGCAGCCTCTTTGCCAGGGCCCTTGTTACTGTGTGAGAGGTGGAGGAATGTGAAGCAAATGCCAGGGAGAGCCCCCACCATCCAGGGCCTCTGGGGCTGCTGCTATTGCTCCTCGATCTGCTGAGTGCCGTCGCCGGAGATAAATGACACCCTCGCTTCAATGTGGGGACCCGCTGCCAAGACAAAGAGTCAAACAAACAGCAGGGCTGGGATTGTCCATACAGAGGAGTGGCTGTAAAATAATCCTGGATCCGAGCTTGCAGCACCCACAGTCTCCCAGTGCTGGTGTGCTGGTGTCCTGTGCAGATGAGGCGTTCCCCAGAAGCTCTGTGCCTCACGCCCTTGTCCCAGCCACAATCCCATCCCCAGTGCATCTGTCCCATAGCGTCTGCCAGTGCAGCCACCACGGGTAACCTGGACGTGTGGGGTGCTCAGGGCCCATTACTTAGCAGTGGGATATCCCCACGAGATTTTTGTTGGCAGTGAGGTTGCAGGAGGGTTGTTTTCTCCCTGGTCTAACTTAGAGTGTACCTTTGGGGTACACTTTGGCAGTCAGGAGGTGCAGGAGAAGGGATAATAAACAGTTCCCATGGGCAGTGTTGATGCGAAAGAAAAGGCACACAGAGCTGGTATTCTGCACAAGGGAGATTCCTCCATCCTGGCCAGCCCGTGCTAGAGCCTGTTCATCCTGGGAAGTGAAGACCACCAATCTCTCAAACACCAACGGATTAGCCTTGTCTCAAGGATACACCCCTGCCTTTATGGCAACACAGACAATTACATAACTCTGTTCAGTCATGAGACACAGATGAGTTTGAAAATGCCTACCGGATCCAGATTTTTCTAGGCTTAACCCTATATGTATACTAGTAGGAGATACTATGACTAAATAGTAGTGTCTCTGTACCTTGCTGGCGTAACACCCTCATTTGGTGTCCAAGTATCTTTGGGGCCATAAGAGTTGCACAACTGTAACCTTTCATTCCTGTGTCTCCATTAGTTTGTTCCTCTACTAACCCTGCCAGCCCATGTGCCTGCACAGAGCCTCGCCGTGAGGAGAGCAGCCAGGTTTGAGGTTGGAGTAATTAGTCCTGGCTGTACTTGCAGACTTTTCTTCAGTACAATTGCACCATTAGATTTTTATCAGTGTGACTTCCTCTGTCAGAATAGCCTGTAAAAAAAAAAAAAAAATTAAAAACAATCTATCTACTTGTTAGAATTGCTGTGGGAGAA